TAAGCCGTAGGTGCCACATATGGTTTGGTGTAGGAAGGTGAACCCCTTTGGTAGTTACTTTCCTTAAAGAGTTTCTTGTGGGCCAAGGACTTCATGCTCTTCAAGTGCTTTTCAATCCTTGTGGACAGCTTGCGAACATCCCCAAAGGAATGGTAAACTTGCAACTCAAGCTTGTATGCAATGTCCTTACTCAAACCACTGGTAAACCTTGCAATTGTATGCTCTTTCTCTTCGGGAATATCACTTCTCAACATCAACCCTTCAAACTCCCGAATATACTCCTCAACTTTTCTATCTCCTTGCTTCAAATTATAGAGCTTAAGATAAAGGTCTTGTTTGTGATTATCGGGCAAGAAAGTTTTCTTCAACACTCTCTTCAATTTCTCCCATGATCTAATTCTAGTCTTCCCTTCTCTTTCTCTCTTCTTCCTTGTATTTTCCCACCACAAGGAGGCATACTCCTTAAACTTTAATATGGCTACTTTACACTTCTTTTCATCATTTTAGCACTTAAATTCAAATACCCGCTCAATCTCATGCAACCAATCAATGAAGTCATTTGGGTCAAAACTTCCATTGAATTCGGGTAAGTCTACTTTAAGACCCCTATCATCATCAAACCTTCTCCTCCTAGTCACTTCAGATTCACTAGATGAATCATTACTATCTCCTAGGTTTTCCATATACAATGGTGTCCAAAGGATGGTTCGTTGGTGGTAGTGTGGGCGACCATCCCGTAGGGGTGGTTGTGGGGTTTCCTCAAAAGTGGGTTTGGGTTGTGAAAGGTTGGCAATGTCCTTAGACATGTTAACCATCAATTCCATCATGCTTGACATATTTCTTTTTACTTCATCAAGTTCTTCTTGAATTCTTTTGTTGGCACTTTCCCATGGTGTTGGGGGTGGAATTGGGGAGGAAGGAGACTTGTTTGCCATGAGAATTTTGAAAGTTTAGCTACTGTGAACAGTAACTCCGGATGAACAGTAACTTTTTGAATGTTAAAGAAAAATGGAAAATGGGAGGGAAAGGTCAAGTGTATGAGTTTTGGTGATTTTGGTTAAGTGTAAGTATTCTGTGAATAGTGTTTTGTGAATAGTATTTTTGTGATTAGGCTAAGGAATGGTGTTTATGGAGATGAGATTAGGTTAATTTAATTGTGTTTAGGGTTCAGGGTTTAGGGTTTGGGTTTAAGGGTTTGGTTTGGTTGTGAAGGAATGAGTTTAGTTGACTTTGGAGGGAATTGGTTAGGGTTTGAGTGAGGTGGCAATGGGTTTGGTTAGAAGGGAACAAGGTGTAAGGGATTTGGTTGGGGAATAGTGTTTGATGAGAGAGAAAATGGTTCAATCACTTGTAACAAAGAGAAATTTTGAAAACACTTAAGCTAAGAACTCCAAATCCGGCAATGTAATGGTTCCAAATTTGGCCAACTTCATTCAATCAATCCTAAATCAATCCTACTCCAATTCACAACCTAAGCTCTGATACCAAATGATCCAAATCCAACCAATTTGCAACAACAAACAACACAAAAATATGCCCTAAACTCAAGCTCAAATTCGGCCAAACACAAATGGAAGCAATGTCACACTTACTTGCAATTTTAGGTTAAGACAAGAATGAACACTTCAAGCATAAAGGAATTCTCCACCAACTTGAATCGATTCACCACCAAATCTCCTTGCCAAGACTTGGATAAAGAAATCTCAATAAGAACACAAAGTTCTCTCAATGGTTAAACCAAGTTTTTGATATTGCATGAACTACTTTACAAGGAGAATAGCTGCCTTATATAGGCAATTACAAGGTAAAAGTGTAATCAACATTACAATACAAGAAAATGAAAATAATAAAAATTACACAAAATAATTACAAGCCTTCCATTCAAAAATAAGGCCATACCCATTTAATGCAAAAGGGACATGATCCCTAATTCTAAGGTTCTGTCTTTAACCACCCCATAGTTGAAAAAAACTCACTTTATTAGCCCAAAACTTGATCAATGATCCTAATCAAGTCTACTAATAAGGGTGTAAGAGATTGGGCCTTGAAGATCTTGCAAATGATCCAATAAGGGTTCAGTGGACTTTCCCCTTTAAATGAGAATTGGGCCGAATGGGTTCACTTCAACACTTGGGCTTATCTCTTGGTGGACTTGAGCTTCCTTGTTGGGCTTGGACTTGGAATGGTTTGGGCCGAAGTGCTTGGGCTCTCTCCCCTTGGAACTTGCTTGGGCCAATCTCCTCCAATGCTTTCCACACTCCACAATCCAAGTGTTTTAGGACTTGGAATGAAACTCTTTGATTCAACCGAATTAGCAAGTTGTTTAGGACTTGTAATTCCTTTCCACATGTTTAAAAGTGTTTTAGGACTTGTAAACATATCTATCCATTACCTCACTCTGCCACAAGCCAAAATTATTTTGGCCATCAAATTTTCAACATCAATTTTTGCATTTGAAACCGTTATCATCTTTACTGGTGTGGATGGTGGTGCCGCAGACGGTGATACCGCACGATGATGCCATTTATGCCTTACTCAGTTGCTTGGTAAACAAAATTCACATAACTAAGCTCCACAAATTATTATATTCAATAGCTAACCACAAATCAACAATAGCCCTAGGTAGTAGTAAGTGCTAAAACGATTAAATACCACCAGGAAAATTCCCAGGAAACAATGGAGGGGTCACAAATAGTCCCACTTAAAATCCAGTCTCCTTAGACTTTTATCATCTTTTGACAAATTTCCTAGACATGCATATAACCATACAAATAGCTACTCACTATCCCAAACCTAGGCTCATACCACTTGTTATGCAGGAAACATAAACTCTAACGCTAGCTTTTGAATATAATAATAACAAGTAGTAAAGCATAAATAAATAACCAAAATTAAATGCAAAAATAAAGAATCCAGGAATTAACGAGGTTCGGTATGAAACCTACGTCCTCGGGCACTGCAAAGAAAACTCCACTATCTCCAAAACATTACAAACGTTTTGGCAAACCACACATACCCAAAACAAAAGGGAGATACAACAAAACTTACAAACTAAAGGGTCCTTAAAGAAAGAACCCTAAACAAAAGAAGTATAATGGAATTACAACTTGGGATGCCTAATAACAATGATTTGGGTCCTTATATATAAGCCCCAAAAGTTTCCCACTTTTCAATCCTAATCAATGTGGGACAAACTAACCTTTTTTGGCCTGTTACATATAAGTCCCTAAACCTTTCTCAATTATCATTTCTACCCCATATGATTTTGCTAAAAGCCATTTTTCAACAGCTTTATACTCCAAAACGAGCTTAAGCAAAAATGAGCTGAAGAAGATAAGCTGAAAGTAAAGTTGTTGTCGTTACAAACAATGTAAAAACCATCAAGAGCAAAACGACACCGTTACAAACAATGCAAAAGACAAATTACAAGAAGACCCTCAACTCTTCATTTTATGACAAACACTTCCCTTTAAACCATACATCTGTGTTTTTCACCAAGAATCACTAACATCCCCTTGTAAACCAAACTACTCAACTGTTGTGACTAACTTCCCCTGGTAAATTAAACCATTGGTCTTGTTTCAGTAACACTGCTCTGTTTTGGACTCAGTTTCTGTACTTCTTTGTTCTTCATTTCACTAGAAAAAAAAAAATTCCTACACTTCATCTTAACAACAAAAATTCCTGCACTTCAACTTATGCAGTTTAGTCACAAAAAATTCTGCACTTCAACTTATGTAGTTCAAAGCAAAAATTCCCGCATTTCAACTTATGCAGTTTAGTCACAAAAAATCCTGCACTTCAACTTATGCAGTTCAAAGCAAAATTCCTACACTTCAACTTATGCAGTTTAGAGCAAAAAATTCCTACACTTCAACTTATGCAATTTAGCCACAAAAATTCATGCACTTCAACTTATGCAGTTCAGTCACAAAAATTCTGCACTTCAACTTATGCAGTTCAAAGCAAAAATTCCTGCACTTCAACTTATGCAGTTCAGTCACAAAATTCCTACACTTCAACTTATGCAGTTATACCAGCTGAGTTCCTGCTCAGTTTAATAACCATGGATAGACTGCTCTGTATTAAAAACAGCAATAACTAACCATGAACAGACTTTTCAGTAAACATGTCTGCTTCCTGCAGAATGCTTCAGATCAAGGTTCCTACACTTCAACTTATGCAGTTCAGTCACAAAATTCCTACACTTCAACTTATGCAATTATACCAACTGAGTTCCTGCTCAGTTTAATAACCATGGATAGACTGCTCTTTATTAAAAACAGCAATAACCAACCATGAATAGACTTTTCAGTAAACATGTCTGCTTCCTGCAGACTGCTTCAGATCAAGGTTCCTACACTCAAATTATGCAGTTCAGCATGTTCTCATCCTAGCATCAATAGCATCATCAACCAGTAGCACTCCAGTGACAATCAACCAGTATCAACCAGCAAAGTTAACCAGCAAAATCAACCAGCATTACTTTAGCAACATTCAATAGCAAAATCAGTCAGCATCAACCACCAACCAAATCTGTATCACACCATCGTAACTGAGCAATTTATATAACCATGCCATTTTAATTCCTGCACTGAGCTTCAAGCTACAACAACTACACAACATCAGCAACTCAACAAACCGACCATAATAGCAGTCAGATCAGTAGACAGGTTTTTAGCAAAAAAAAAAAAAAAAATAGTGCACTTCATGACTCAGTTGCCAAGTGTACTGAAACCACTGTAAGCTTTTATTTTAATTCCTGAAACTGTGAGATAGAAAGAGCCTTTGTCAAAACATCAGCAATTTGTAACTTGGACGGAACATATTGTACGAGAACCTTTTTGGCTAATACTTGATCCCTTATATAGTGGGCATCTATCTCGATATGCTTTGTTCTAGCATAAAAAACAAGATTGGCTGCCAAAGCTCCTGCATTTATGTTATCGCACCAAATTATGGGAATGGAATTCAACTTCACATCTAATTCAGAAAATAAGCTATTCAGCCATACCAGTTGTTGTTTGAGCTAAAGCCCTATATTTAGCTTCGGTGGATGATAGTGCAACCACTTTTTGCTTACGCGAACTCCATTGCACTAGATTGGGACCAAGATACATGCAATACCTTCTTGTGGATCTTCTATCATCCAAATTACTACCCCAATCCGCATCAGCATAACATTCAACACACAATGAGGCAGCTGGTTTGAAAAGAAAACCATGGAAAGAAGTGCCTTTAATGTATCTTAACACATGTTTACAAGCTTGCCACTTAAATTCTGTTGGAGCTTGAAGGAATTGGCTTAACTTATTAACTGTAAAGCTAATGTTAGCCCTTGTTAACGTTAAGTACTGTAATGCTCCAATGGTGCTACGATAGAGACTGGGCTTCTTAAATAATTCACTATCACCAACAAAAAGTTTTGTCCCAACAGCCATGGGAGTAGGACAAGAATGAGCATCTTGCATTTTTGTTTTGATAGGCAATCAGTGACATATTTGGACTGCCTTAAGTGAATTCCTTCATCTGTTCTTGTAGCTTCCAACCCCAAGAAATATGTGACTGATCCCAAGGTTTTTAGTGCAAATTGATCATTTAAATCAAGAACCAACTTGCAAATGGAAGAGTTGCTAGATCCAGTTATCAAAATGTCATCAACNGATCCCTTATATAGTGGGCATCTATCTCGATATGCTTTGTTCTAGCATGAAAAACCGGATTTGCTGCCAAAGCTCTTGCACTTATGTTATCGCACCAAATTATAGGAATGGAGTTCAACTTCACATCTAATTCAGAAAATAAGCTATTCAACCATGCTAATTCAGTTGCTGTTTGAGCTAAAGCCCTATATTCAGCTTCGGTGGATGATAGTGCAACCACCTTTTGCTTACGAGAACTCCATTACACTAGATTGGGACCAAGATACACGCAATACCCACTTGTGGATCTTCTATCATCCAAATTACTATCCCAATCCGCATCAGCATAACATTCAACACACAATGAGGCAGCTGGTTTGAAAAGAAGACCATGGAAAGAAATGCCTTTAATGTATCTCAACACACGTTTACAAGCTTGCAACTGAAATTCTGTTGGAGCTTGAAGGAATTGGCTTAGCTTATTGACTGTAAAGCTAATGTCAGGCCTTGTTAACGTTAAGTACTGTAATGCTCCAATGGTGCTACGATAGAGAATGGGCTCCTTAAATAATTCACTATCACCAACAAAAAGTTTTGTCCCAACAGCCATGGGAGTAAGACAAGAATGAGCATCTTGCATTTTTGTCTTGATAAGCAAATCAATGACATATTTGGACTGCCTTAAGTGAATTCCTTCATCTGTTCTTGTAGCTTCCAACCCCAAGAAATATGTGACTGATCCCAAGGTTTTTAGTGCAAATTGATCATTTAAATCAAGAACCAACTTGCTAATGGAAGAGTTGCTGGATCCAGTTATCAAAATGTCATCAACATAGATGAGCACATAAAGAACTTGGTCTGGCTCTTTAAGAATGAACAAACTGGAGTCAGAAACTGAATTTTGGAAACCTTTTTCCAGTAATGCTTGCTTCAATCTGTCAAACTAGGCCCTTGGAGCTTGTTTCAAGCCATACAAAGCTTTATTAAGCTTACAAACATGTAAAGGACAGGTTGAACTCTCAAACCCAGCAGGTTGTTGCATGTAAACAATTTCAATCAATGTTCCATTCAAAAAGGCATTATTTACATCAATCTGCTGTATGTCCCAGCCATAAGAAATAGCAAGCGTAAAAATAATGCGAATAGTGCATGGTTTAATGATTGGACTAAAGGTTTCAAAATAATCTAACCCAGGAGTTTGCTGAAACCCTTTTGCTACCAACCTAGCTTTATATTTTTGTAAAGTACCATCAGCATGAAACTTGGTTCTAAATACCCACTTATTTCCAACAAAATTCATATCAGAAGTTTTAGGAACAAGAGTCCAAGTATTGTTCCTTAAGAGTGCATCAAACTCATCTTGCATAGCATTTTTCCAATCAACACTAGCCAAAACTTCAGGTATGGAATTAGGTTCTGGTTATATGACTGATGATTTGGAAGAAAGGAAGGTTGTGGTTGTTTGTTCAGTAGTCTTTGAATGAGTGAGCATAGGATGAGTGTTGGAAGATTGAGTCTGATTTAGTTGTGACTTGTGAGGGCAGGTTGGTGTTGGTTGATGTTGGTGAGAGTGGGCTGGTTCTGTTTGATGTTAGGAAGAGTAGGCTGGTTCTGTGTGATGTTGGTAAGAATAGATTGTTGAATTTTCGTTGGAGGGTGGCTGATTAGTGTGGCTTTGTAAATTAGGGACTGAAGTATCTTGATTAATGTGTTCTGTTTGAAGCTGTGATGATGTTAGATCAACTACAAGTGGACAAGAGGATAATGTCCCTGGGTTGGTTGACTGAAAATTGGAAATATTTGCTAGTTTGTAATAGGTGAGATCAATTGCAAAAGAACAGTTTGTGGGTAATTTATGAAGGGTAGATGGAGAAGTGTGTAAAACAGTTTGAAAGGTGGTTAAGATTTGAGACCTGTCTGTTTTTGAAGAGATATTATCATGGGTTGGAATGATTGATTTGTTGAAACTATCACTGCAAGGATTAGCTACAGAACAGTCATGATGCAATGAGGATTGTCTGCCGGAGCTGTGATCAGTTGCAGCAGGCATTACAGTGAAAGGAAAATATGTCATTGGATCATCAGGATTGACATGTTTGACTTGTTCTAAAGATGTTTTTGAAGAGGAAATACCATGAAAGTGAGACTCAAAATCCTTCTTAAATGGAAATTCAGACTCATTAAAGTGGACATTTGGAATGATAAACATTTTACCTTCAGAATTGACACACTTATATCCTTTGTGAATAAGACTATAACCAACAAACACACATTTGGAAGAATGAAAACTCAGTTTGTGTTTATTAAAATCTCCAAGGTAAGGAAAACAAGCACATCCAAAGGTTTTAAGAGAAGAATATAATGGTTTTGATGCAAAAAATACTTCATATGGTGACAGAAAATTCAATACAGATGTAGGCATTTTGTTTATAAGGAACACTGCTGTATCAAATGCAACCACCAATAATGCAAAGGCATGGATGTGTGGGCTAACAAGATAAGACCAGTTTCAGCAATATGTCTATGTTTTCTCTTACTTCGCCCATTTTGTTGATGAACATATGCACACGAATGCCTAAATTGAATGCTGGCAGTGCTAAGATAAGAAATGAGACCCTTATATTCTCCACCTTGGTCTGATTGCAAGCATTTGAGCTTGCAATTAAACTGCCTTTCGACCAAGTGATGAAACTTGACAAACACAGAATAAACTTCAGCTTTTGTTCTTAAGGGAAATAACCAAGTGAATCGACTATAATCATCTATAAAATGGACATAATATCTATATCCCTCTAAGGAAAGGACTGGAGATGGACCCCAAACATCACTATGAACAATTTCAAGAGGATGAGTGGCTTTAGAGTGAGAAATCAGGAAGGTATTCCTATGAAGTTTACCTAATTTACAAGCATCACAAAAGGGTAACTGTGACATATGACCAATAGATTTTTTTTTTGCATAGAAGATAGGATCTTATGTAATGATTGAGCATGCAGATGTCCTAGTCTATTATGCTAAAGTGATAGTTGATTTTCTGAACTATTGCTAACTTGAAAAGCACATGATGAATTATGCAATGAAAATGTATCATGAAATGGAGTTGCATTATGTAAAGAAGATGCATTATTGGTGGTTTCATTCAATTTATCACACTGCTAAGATAACAAGCAAGGTAAATGCAACAAAGTTTTATTTAAAGATGACACATTACAAGACAAAGATGGTTTACAAGAATTTGAGTCAGTGACCTCTGACTTACAACTGTTTTTAGAAGACTGTATTTCAATCATAGTACAACTATTATTAATCGAACTAGCCTTATTTTCTTCATGTAAAGTAGGTCCTAAGGATGTTTTTTCAATAGCAGTAACGTAAGTTTGAGGAACTGAAACAGACTGACTACTAGATGTAACAGTAGGTGACAACAGGGAAGGAGAACTATATGATGACAGGTTAGATGGTATTTGCAATTGATACAGCCCAGCCTTAAGTCCTCCCTGCAACAGAACTGTTCTGGAAGCTTTGTCCTTTACAGTGCAATAATCATAATCAAATTCAACAACAACATTATTATCTTTGGTAAGTTTTGAGATACTAAGTAATTTTTTTTGTAATCCTAGGCACACAAAGCACATTTTTTAAGTAAGCACATTTAGATTGCAAGGAACTAGGAAGCAAAGCAAAGCCAACATGAGAAATGTCTAGAGACTCACCATTGCCTACTTGTAGTTGATCATTACCATCATAGTTACGGTTGGCTGTTAACTGATTTGGATCTGATACAACATGATCAGTTGCACTAGAGTCCATATACCAGGCTGGATCAGGTGGTGAGTTGGAAGTGATGATAGTAGGCTGAAATGAGTTCCTGTTTGGAAAGGATGTAGCTGAGTGGGCAGCAAAAAAGGCTTGGTTTGGAGGTTGCATTTGTGAGGGTTGCATTTGTGGATTGGGAACCCTAAAACCTGGCTGTTGAGTTGAGTAAGAGAGTTGCTTTTGCTGATCAGACTGATACTATTGAGACTGGTGATTGTGGCTTCCATGTTGCTGTGTATGATGGTCAAAAGAACTATTTCCAGGACCAAACATCTGACCAAATGAATTAGTGTTAACACTGCCAAGACTAACACCAAGATCTTGAGAAAAACCATTAACCTGCTGTGGTGAATTGAAGTGAGCTGAGATACCACCAGTATAACTGGTATTAAACTGTGGGGAAGAACCATTATAGTTGAATGAAGAGCCATTGTAGCTGGTGTTGTAACGATGATAGCACTGAATGGCTGTGTGTCCCATTTTACCACAAACTTGGCAAATTGGTTTGCCTCTCCCATTGTTTCTACCCCTGCCTTTGCCATTTCCAACATATCCAAAGGGTCTATAGGCAGGTAAATTTGAAAGCTGACTTATAACCTTATATAAGAAATGAGGAGAATTCTGATTTATTGGCAGACCTCGAACAGTCAATGGATAACTCTGTGATGGTACAGACAAAGCATTCTATAATGGAACATTATGGTTGACTGATCCAAAAAGTCCAGATCCAGTACTTCTAGAAGAACCTTCAACAAAATTTAAATGTCCTAATGTTGAGTTGTGATAAGGAAGCTGAGACTTAGTTAAGTTTGGATTGAGTGATGCCACATTGACTGAGCACTTTGGAAAGTCAGGAGAATTAAATTTCTCAAGTCTCAGTTCATATTTTTGCAACAGGAATTGAGCCTCTTGTAAAGTAATTGAATCAAACTTGGATTCAATCCCAGAAGTCAGATTGACGACAACCGCATCAAACTCTAGACCTAATCCATCTAAGACATACTGTAACACTT